GAATTTAACATAAAGATATTTTTCTATACACTATGTCTATGGTTTTCTTGAGATGGCTAGAGACTCTTGATACAGAAATGGGTAAAGCATTTCCTCAAATACTGGGGTTTTTTTTTGTTTGTTTTGTTTTTTACAGTTTGACAGCGGTGAATATTAAACTTATGCAGTGTTTTGGCCTGTTCATATTCCTTGGTATTCTGACAAGTGAGAGCATTAAGAAGGAGCAGCTAAAAGTTAGTTTTACTTTGTTACTTTTTACAATAATTGCTGAATTTGTTTTGCATTCAAAAAATTAGGTGCAAGTGAAGGAACCATAAACCAGGAAATTCAATGTTACCAACAGTTAGAATCTGTGGCTGTGAATTACATTCGAAGAGATGTTTGTAAAAAATTACGGGGATCCAGTATGCGAGTGAGTAGATGTTTAAGAAAAATTTTATTAGACAGTTTTTCACTTTTTACTTTTAAAACTTATCTATGATAATGCTTATGTTTTTTTTCTTTTAAGGCCAGTGATAATACCACCTGATTTGTACATAGGAGATTTACTATGTACCAGATACTATTTAAAACACATTACATGTAACGGTCCATTAAATTCTTATAACAATCTTAAGAGATAACTCTATTATTATCCTCTTTTAAAGATGAGGAAATCAAAGGACAGAGAAGTCAAGTAATATTACTGTGATTATACAGCCAGTAATCCTGGTAGAACCAAAATTTAAACCTAGGCAGTGGGACTGTAAAGTTGGGCCCTTTCCCACTGCTTTTTCTGCTGTTCATGAATTTGCATTTGCTTTTTTAGTCTCTAATATGAGCTCTGTGAAAAATGTGAATTCTTTTGCGATGTCTGTCCTTCCCCTATTCGATTTTCAGTGGTCATATTTGTCTATCAGCCACAATTTCCTCCCTTTTCTGTTTTATTTATACTTTTAATTAAAGACAGTTTTTGGCTCACAGTTTTTGAACATTCTGTTCTTTTTTCAGTCTCTATTCTCTTTGCTTTTCAGTTTTGGGGATTTCTATTTATATATCCTCAAGACAAGTGATTTTTTTTCCTCATGTAGTTCGTCTGCTAATAAACTCATCATTCATGTCTGTCAGTGTTTGTGATCTCTAGTGTTTATTTTTGTTTTTTCTTCCATCACTCATATCCCAATTATTCTTTCATGCTGTCCAATTTACCCATCAGAACCCTTAGCATATTAATCATAGCTGTTTTAAATTTCTGGCCTGAGAATTCCACATCCTTATACTATCTAGTTCTGATGCCTGTTTTTCCTCTTAAGATTATACTTCTTTTTTCCCTTTTAGTATGCCATGTAGTTTTTCTTGATTCTCATACATACTGCACCAGGTAAATGGAACTTCTGTAAATTGGCCTTTGGTGTGATCCACTACTAAAATGTCAAGGGAAGGTGAATGTTTTATCATCCTCTGTGTTTCCTATTTGTGAGCCCTATGCCCCTAGAGTGAACTTCATAAATGTTTGTCAGTTTTTTTCTTCCAATTTAGGTCAGACAATGTGGCTAGAGATAACTCAAACTTGGTATTTCCCTTCTTGATCAGTTATGATTTGATTCCCCACCTCTGAAGCAGGTTAGGCTCTGCTAGCTAGTTTCTCCCAAAGGTAGACCTTAGTAAGACCACAATATAGTCTACAGTTACTTTTTTTCCTCTCTTATTTCATTAGGCTGCTTCCTAAAGGATAAGTGGGGTTTGGGTTACAAACCAAGTTATACTCGATCTAAAAGCATTTCTGTTTCTGGAAGACTGCCTCTTAAGAGAATGGAAAGATCAAGGTAATATATATTTCAGCTGATGAAAAAAGAAATAAAATTGCTGACTCCTTTAGCAAGATTCACTACTTTTTTTTATTATGCTCTAATTGGGGAAATTATAAAACTAAGTAAAAATGGACCTTATTACTAAAATAGCAATCATACTGATTACTGTGAAACTTCATTTATTTGAGAATTTTCTCTATCTTATTTATATCACAATGGAGTGAGTTCTTTTTAGTAATGAAGTACACTGCCTTTTAGGCAAGTTTTATGTGTAAACTTTAGACTATACAAAGACATGGATATGTGCATACTAGTAGCAGATAGTCTCAATATGTCCATTCAGAAAAGGTATGATTGCATACATATTTCATGTATGAAAATATAGAAATTAAAGTGCTGTTAATCAACTCTGAAATTTTTCAGTTAGCAGTAATCTCGCCTCAGATAAACTTTTTTGATATTGCCATTGTACAAAGCTAGCATTATAAAAATAAGTCCAAATTCTTTTTATATGGTTTGGTTTTAGAAAATCTTAGGTTGATCAAAACATGGTGTCTTTTTTATATGATGTTAAAGATTATGGTGTCATTAATTAGACTTTTAGTATAGAAATTGTTTAAATGAGAATATTAGTGTTTTATTACTTTATATTTTACTTATAGTTCTCGAGTAGGAAAAACTGAACAGCTCCCAGAAATCCATGTGGATGCAGCATCTCCTGGACCCAGAGTAACTTTTAACATCCAGGACACAGTAACAGAGAGTGTGTTTGTTCTAAGTACACAATACTAAATAGCTTTTACAGATTAAAAGTTACAATGCTGTACAATTTCAAAATACTACTGATTCTTGCCTACCATAAAAGCAAGGATTTTAACACATTCATGATGGGTCATAATTCATATGTCTTGCTACCAGGCAGCTTGAACAACTGGTGGTGCATGCATGACTGTACCGATAAAAGTGATTAGATCTGTTGGTACCGCTGTTGGTTCAAGCTAATAGGAACATGTTACTGCCTGAAGTATTCTACAAGACCCTCCAGTGGTCACAGCCCTCCTTCCATGGAGAGCCATGCCACGGGTGTTAGTGTTTTACATGGACAATAAAGACTTTTTATCTGCTTGCACTTAAGTAGAAGAGTTTTTGTTGAATGATGTTTCCTGAAAATGAGAATTCACATTAAACTATGTCTTTCATATAATTGTAATGTGATAATTTGTACTTATTTATGTATTTTAGTTTAGAATGTATATGTAGGTAGTTACAGAAGCCAGAGGGAGGTCAGCTTCAAAGTTGTATTCTAATTTCATAGCATGTTAGCATTTGTGTTAAAATGTTTGGATTTTTTTTGTATATTTGTTTACTTTTAAGCCATTGTCTTTTTAAATTTTTCACAAGTTTCTTTATTTTCTTATTATTTTAATTAAGTTGAAAAATATAGTATGGGGAAGTACACCACAATCCAGCTGGCCTGGAGAAGGGTATTTTCAGGTACTTATGAAGAACAATATAAATTTTGCTTAAAAACTAATTAACCACCCTGAAAATCTGTTTTCACAATCTCTTTCTTTCATTTCAAACTAAACTCAAACCTCAGAATATTTTACGTAAAGATTCAAGGTTGTTTGGGTTCTTTTTCATCATGTATATTTCATAAGCTCTAACACGCATATATTCTATTTTTATACTTTTATAATTTATATAGATTATAATTTATTATTTTGATCTTCAAAATTGACTTAAGTCAGCTTATCAAACCAACTCAACCAAATCATAAACCAAAAATTGAAATTTATTTGTTATTTGCTAATACCTAAACAAAACTCTTTTCCTTACATTCAGCTACAAAATGAATCTTTTCAAAAAAAGAATCTTTATTGTGTAGGTAAAAATAGAATCAGATCTACCTCAGTATAACAGATTAATCATTGAATGTTATTTATTTTGCATCACTGTTATATAAAAATAAAAATGTGCTAAAAAAATGTGCTATACTCTCACTAGAATTCAAATTTTTATAAGCCAAGTGTTTTTCATAAATATGTCATAAAAACAAAATTGAATCTTAAAGAGATAATTTCCAAGGTTTATATATATATTTTATCTGAAAATTTTCATTCAAATTACATTTAAAAATTGGCATTATGTACTTCCAATAAATTTTGTTTCCTTCTCCATACTTTCTTAAGGTCAAGTCAAAATATATCCCATTGTTAACTGAATTCATTCAAATTAGACTTTGTTGGGCTGGGGATATAACTCAGTGGTGCCACCACTTGCCTCACAAGCACAAGGTCCTGAGTTCGAACCCCGGTACCAAAAAAAAAAAAATTAGACTTTGTCATAGGACCATTAGATTGAAGCTTAAGAATATTTTCTTATTCAACAACAAAAAAAATCTTGGAAGCAAATAATTTATTCAGATTGAATCAGTCTTACTAATTGGGTGATTTGGAGAGGGCAGTAGTGGATATCAAACCCAGCCAGGGCTTTGCACATGCTAGGCAGGCACTCTGTCACTGAGCTAAATCCTGTTTTAATTAGGTGATAGGTGATTCTTACAGATATTAATATTTGAAGTGATTCAGGTCCTATTTTGAAATAACAGTTTATTCTGCTTATAAAAATGGTATATAAAAATTTATAAACTAGATGTTAGATTTGCTAATCATAAAATAGATAATTAAACTATGGTTACATTTAAATATTGAAAACATGTAGGATCCAATAGTTTTAAATAAAAATTATATTACCTTGCATATTGCACTTTATAAAAACTAATCTTTCCCAAATGATGCTGAAGCAACTGTGCCAGGGAATTGAAATCTAGTCATATGAAGTCTTCTTGGTTTTTTGACCTACTTGAAAATAGTGACCATGTGGTAAAAACCTGAGTTAGAGACATATTGTTTATGCAGACTGTTTACCTTAAAATAACATTTGTAAGTCTGATTAATGTGTGTTTTATTACTCGATAATTTGCACATCATTTAGCCCACGAGGGGCTCATTTTTTAGATATATTCACAAAAGTTCCTATAAACATGATAAGATTATATACTGTGTACTGACATTGCATGCTCTTCCATCAATAATTACTCTTATGGAGGCTTGGTAGTGTGCAGGCTATTTAGACTTAGTGTCCACAGCTGGGTATTACTCCACCAGTGACCCTGGACAGTAACAAAGCACATAAAGCCCGAACCCAAACCCTGCCACAATCATAGGTCTTATAGTTGCTGTGGAAATCAGGAAACAATGGCATCTAAGAAATTTGCTGTTAAAATTATAATAGAGAGAAGCTGAGCCGGTCCCAGCACCTGGAAGGAAGCTCCCCCACTGCCATCCCAATCTCCTAGGGCAGAGAAGATGAGCAGTGTGGGCACCAGAAGCTCTGCCCCCCCGCCCTGTGGAAATGAGAAGACATGTAAACAAGCCTCAAAAACAGACTTCTGGATCACCTATAGTAACCCCAAAGGGAAACAAGATGGAAGAATCAGATACTCAACCACCTGGACTCTCTGAACTGGCAGCAAAAGAGGATCTGGGAAAAATGAAATCAGAAATAATTACTCAGATAACAGCAAAGATTTTGCTCATGGTGCAAGACAT